AAACACAGATACTATTATAATGACAATGGTACAATGTCATGTAAAGCACCTTGAATACGACAGGAAAAAAAAGAAAGAAAAAAAAAAAAAAAATCAAACCTGTCCCTACTTTATAAATTAAATGCCTTCCAGGAACACAATTAGTGCATGATCTATAACTAACTGGCCTAACATGAAAGAGAAGGAATGTAAGAATAAGAAAAATGAACAGCTCTTCATTCACTAAACACCAAACAGAAAATATGCTGGGGTACCAGGTAAACAGTCTGGAGTGATGGGAATAACACTTAAACTCAACACACACACTCTTTATGCACTCATCCCATCCCCCCTCCACTCACTTACACACACACACACTCATCCCCCTCACTCACACACACTCACTCATCCCATCCCTCCCCTCCCACCCACCCACACACACCCACACCCACACCCACACCCACACCCACACCCACACACACGCACACATATATATTCATCCCATCACCCCCCACTCACTTTTAACATGTTAACTGTTAGGTGTAAAGTGAATGCAGGGCACAATCTTTAGTGAGTTCTGCATTCTTCAGCCTCATTATTTCAATAATTTTTGGCACTATAATTTAGGGTATCATTATACCTATTACACAATGTCGATACACATAGAAAATATATCTTCGTGCCCCCATATCATCTATCCTTAAGACAATGACATTTGCTATAAAAAAATATTAGACAACTTTCACTCATAAATATTCCATATCACATTACCATTTTATTTGGAAAAAAGAAAGAAAACGAGGATATAAGTTAGAAAATTAGTACAAAAATGTGTATAGAAAATAACGAACATAGTGACTGCTAGTGAAGCAAGCAAAAGTATACCCAGAAAAAAAAAAAAAAAAAAAAAAAAAAAACTTTCTAGGTCACCTACTTGAGAAATCAGCTGTTAACATGTCATGCTATTTAAAACTCAAAAAGCCATCCAAACATCCATGAAGACTAAACCTTCAAAGCCAAGAGAAGGTATAAGAAAAAAAAAAAAAAAAAAAAAAAAAAAAAAAAAAAAAAATCAAATTAAATAAAAAAGAAGGGGGAAAAAAAAAAAAAAAATTATTAGCTTATTTGATATTGCTTTTTCAGTGAGGATATAATCCGCTGAAGTATATTCTACTTTGCACAGATTACCCTCACCTCAAAACCCAGTACTTCCACACTACACAATCTAAATACATCTTTGGAATTTATGCATTAATAAGGCCTTATGAAATTTGGTTATGATTCTCCCTTCTAACCTCCTATGAAACCTCAGTGGATTCTACTCTTTGACTTTGAAGTGGATTCCGTTGTCCTGCAGGCGGTCGCGCAGGGTAGTCTTCAGGAAGGCAGCTCCAGGGGGGAACACACCACCACTGAGGAGAGTCGATCACAAATAATCAATAGCAAGTTATCAGTCCCTATCCACAATGCTTAAATTCTGATGTGGACTCTATAGGACATTAAAATTATAATTTCTAACTTCAGAAATGTAAAAACTGCTTTAACTGCTAGCAATATTATAAAAATTTTGACAGGATTATACTACCTTTTGGGGAGCTTGTCCTTTTCCTGAAGCACAGTCAGGGCACACTGACTCACAATGGTAGCTGTTCCAAAATATCCAGGATCAGGACCAACAACCTGTTTCAAGAGACATTATTGTCAATATACAATTAAGATCCCTTTTTTCTAAGAAACTGTGTCCAAGGGGTAAATTGGAAATGGAACATGTTTCTCTCACCTCAATGTAACTAAATGAGATTTCTGTTTCTATCTTCACAAGGGCAAAAAGAACAATTTTTTTTATTTAACTAATGGATTTCTGAGAGGCGAGTCTTACTACATTCACCAATACTGGCAGAAAAATAAACTATCATCTTATATGTCAAGAACAATGAACTCTAACTCAGAAGAGGTAAAAAAAAGATAATGCACTCTCTTCCTCGAGTAATCTCTCAACTACGAAGGACAAAGGAAAAAGCATCACCAATTACCGTAACAGTCTTGCTAACAGTAGGTGGGTCAGTGTGCTGTTGTTCTGGGTCCTCTATCTTGTTTTCCCATCCTTTGCCAGTGAGGGTCACACAGAACTTCATACCAACCAGGTCTTCCCGTTTGGGGCCCTTCCGGCTGAACAGGCCAAAGGTGAAGAACTCTGGATGCTGCAAAATCAAGAGTTTGTTAATTTGGGGACATCTGTATAAAACAAATGCCAATATTTCAAATTAACATGTATGCAAGCCTACCACTGAGCTATCATCTCGATATTTTCCTATGCATACAATATTCCTATAAACAAAACAAACAAAAAGGTGATGAAGAAAAAATAGAACCCAAAATAAAATAAAATAAGAGAGGGGAAAAAAAATCTCAACATATAAATCTTCCCCACCTTGAGCAAAAGTGACCTGGTAAATGTGAAGGAAGCCATCAGGTAGAAGAGGATTCCAAACACAATACCAAATATGGCAGTTGACAGCGAGGACATGCCAAAGTAGGCATTGAACTGCACTGGGCGTCTCTTCTCCAGGTCAAGGATGCCTCGCTGTGACCGCGTGACGACGGAGCGGTCAGATGCCAAATTGGGGAGGCACCAGCGATTGGCCTCTTCACTGAAGAACAACTTACCCCTGCGGATATGAACCTTGTTTACGTATCTCTCCCCTAATAGTCATGGTCATATTGTGGTAGAAAATATTAGCAAAATGTACCAGTTGAAGGGCTGCATTGAAAAGGAGAAAGAGGGGAGAAGGGGGAGAGGGAAAGAGGGGAGGGAGCAAGGGGAAGAGCAGCTGAGGAGGGAGAAAGCTAGGGGAAGAATGGTTGAAGAACAGAGGGGAAGGAAGGAAGGAAGGAAAGAGGGAGGGAGGAAAGGAGGAGAGAGAGAGAGAGAGAGAGAGAGAGAGAGAGAGAGAGAGAGAGTGAGTGAGAGAGTGAGAGAGTGAGAGAGTGAGAGAGTGAGAGAGTGAGAGAGTGAGAGAGTGAGAGAGTGAGAGAGTGAGAGAGTGAGAGAGTGAGAGAGTGAGAGAGTGAGAGAGTGAGAGAGTGAGAGAGTGAGAGAGTGAGAGAGTGAGAGAGTGAGAGAGTGAGAGTGTGAGAGTGTGAGAGTGTGAGAGTGTGAGAGTGTGAGAGTGTGAGAGTGTGAGAGTGTGAGAGTGTGAGAGAGAGAGAGAGAGAGAGAGAGAGAGAGAGAGAGAGAGAGAGAGAGAGAGAGAGAGAGAGAGAGAGAGAGAGAGAGAGAGAGAGAGAGAGAGAGAGAGAGGGAGTATACAAACCTTGGTTCAGGTTTAAAGGAGGACTTGGGAAGTGGTGTAGGGAAGAGCTCCTTGCGAATGGCTTTTAACTCGCTACTGTGAGCTAATCCATGTATGGCGCACTCCATGGTCGTGAAGTTGATTGGCGCATTTCCCTGCCAAAGGAGAAGTGGCATACAGTGAAGCTTTTTTCTGGAGTTTACAGTTATATTATATGAAAATTAAAAATAAAGTGTCAACATTTCATATAGCAATATACAGACCCAAAAGTACAGACTTAAGCAGGTAAAGTAATGAAATCAATGTTATTTTTTAAGTGTAGCAAATAAAGACAAAGAAAAAAAAAAAAAAGTTACCTTCTATCTTAAATAAAAGGAATTAGAACATGTAACTTGGTGATTTCCAAGGACTACATCTATAATGCTCACAATACTTAAATAAAAATCTGCTTCAAGTGTACTGCAAGAATGCCACAAAAAGATTAAACTAAAATAATAATTTCTTGATTGGTTCATGTCTACAGGTACTTAATAATGAATACCCAAGAAAAGAAAGAGAAAAAAAAACTAATTTATTCTTGACAAACAACAGTGAAAAACTTACGGATGACTCATCATGAAGACCGACAACCATTTCCACAGAGTTGACGTCACCTATGGAGGACAGACTTTAGGGAGGCATCTAAACATCATATAAACATTCAATTAAGCATTAAAGGGTTTGATCTGACAGATGTCAATAAAAGTCTGAAGGTGTTATTTTCTCAAAGAAAATCTGAGACTTAATATAAGGCCTTTTTTTTCTTTTTTTTGTGAATGGTTATGAAATACAATATGAGTTAGAAAGGGAGAGGAAAAGTATATTCTAAATTAGAATGCAAAACAGTTATCACAATGAGAGAAACTCTGAAACTGTTACTGTCTTTGCTTTTGTGCTCAGGAGTTAAACCGCATGTAGGGACATACTATGCCCAGTGAGAGTTTAGTTTATCATTTGTCTTTACACATATATGGCTTCACAAGTACTTTATCTCCTACTGCTGTTAGTACTGTTAACACTACAATAATCATGCTGTCTATAATATGAACAGCAGTGATATTGACACCATTAGTAAGAAAGAAAGAAAAATCCTATAAACTCAAGAAAAGGTGAAATAAGGTGAGGATATGAAGTCTACTAACGGATTCCTTATTGGCTGAGCTCTTATCTCATTTATGTGTAGAGATATTTCACAAAGCAATACTACAGTGAACATAACATTCAACAACAGCAGTGGGTCAACATAGATAGAAAAGCGGGTATAGAAAAACAAATGAAAACACTGAAAATAACATACCAAAAAGAAATCAAACAAGAAGAAGAAGAAGAAGAAAAAAAAAAAGCAGATAAGGAGGTCAACTCACAATGCATCCAGCAGAGCCAGTCACCCGCCAGGCACTCCCTACCTTCAAATGACTCCTGCAAGAAGAGCGTGCCCAGGTCAGCCGGCACGGAATCAAAGCCACAGGCGCCCACGATATGCACCCCTTTCTCCTCAGCCTCCTTGGCATACTTCAGCTGCATGGTCTCCAGGTACTGAGGCTCGCCACTAATGTCCACGTGGTTGGCCCCTCCTTCAATGCATGCCTTCACCACCTTCTCCCCATAGAAGCGGTACTGCAAGGGAGGGAAGACCAAGTGGTATTAATGAGTAGTTTTAAAAGGGCTGAAAATGAACAGCAAGTGGTA